TGTGCACTAAGAATCTGCGATTTCAATTCAGCAACAAGTTATACCACCAAACATATGGAGTGGTAATAGGAAGTCCTTTGAAGGCCATCCTTACGGATATACTTATGGCCAATGTGGAAAAAATTACATCACCTACAGCTATCAGTCAAACTATAATACATAACAGGTATGCTGATGACACGTTTGTTCTATGTTATGACATGGATCATATGATGACATTTCTAAACATATTTAATAAGCCATGTGTGAATGTTAAGTCTGCCATCGAACATAAGACAAACAAGGGATTTCATTTTTTTTGGACTTATGACCTTGATGAAGAAGAGATGGGTGTTGTGTCAGAGATCTGTCTACAAAAACGAAACATGGAATGGACAATACCTCCATTTTAACAGTTTCTGTCCAGTGATTCATGAGCAAGGAGTAGTTGAAACGCTATTTTCCAAAGGGTTAAGAAACTTTGTTCATCAAATGAACTGACTGAAGAAATTTAGATCATCGATTGATGTACGAAATAAAACGGTTACCCGAAGAGATTTATAGATTACATCAAAATGGGAACAGCAGAAAAAGGTGTACTTGATAATCCTGGGAAGAATCCTGTGTTGCTCCATCTGACTTCCACAGGGGAAGGAACTCATGAACAGAGTTAACAGAAGAATAAGAACTAAATCGGAAATCACCTACCAAGCAGCAAAACTAGTTTCCATATGTGAAACAGTGTTCACTACAACAATCGAAAATCGACAGGTTTTCGCCTGATGTCTCCTCGAAATGCGTCTACCGAATCATGTGTGCATGTCGGAGCATGTACATCGGAAGGACAGAGAGGAGGAGAGCTGAAATTAGATTTTGTGAACACATTCCAAATAAATTAAGTTTAAAGGAGCCAAAATATCTTAAAAGTTACAATACTAAACATCTGATGGACAAAGGACACAACGTCCAGATCTCGAAGGCATTTATCATAATTAAGAAACGAAACAAAGCTAATCTATTGAGGTTCAGAGAAGCAATTGTCCTCAGATTAATTAAACCGAACTTATGCATATAAAAAGAGTCAGTTATTAGCCCCTTACGGCCGTGGAAGCCATTGATTTGTTTTGTCATTCAGTATGACCTCTTCCAAAAATTCTGCATTTTACCCACCCCCAACCCCCGATTTCATAATCAATTCCTACTTTATCTCCACAGGCTGACTATTTAACCCAGACCGACTTGACCTTGACGTTATTTACATTATATTTGTTCATCACATACACTTACGTAATCTTTTCTGTTCCCTTTTTGATTGATTGCATGTAGCAAAATGGCAGTTTGACCATGTAAAAGTAAGATAACTTCAATTTTAGTAGTCAAAACTTATTTCATTTGAACCTGCTTAACCTGTATCAGTTCTTTTATTATCTCCCACCAATGACTTTGGTAATTTCCTGTTTCTATACAGGGTCGAATCGCCGAATGTTCGTTATCAGATGGTCCGTGTGAGGGTGTCTCTACACTGGCAAATATATGTTATGTTGTATTCTTCTTTATGGCTAGCGGTAGAATCCAGCTCACGCGTTTCATCCTTTTTGGAACTCGTCAGCTGGAATTGCCTATACTCTACTGAGTGGTGTCGTGGCACTTGAGACCCGAACTCAGTACCCATCACTTCAGACGTCAAAGCTTTATCGTCTTGTTTATATATATATATATATATATATATATCTTACGACTTATAGCCTGTACGGAGTTGAAAAGGAAGGTGATGAAATGAATGAGTTCATTCTTATTCTGAGAAATATCGTTGTTCTAGCTTGCTAAAAGTTTTGAAGGAAACCAACTGTATATTCGTTGGTTAGAGGTGATCGGCAAGTAGCACTGCTCCACCTTGGTCTGGTGCTTGTTGACACTCGTCAGCAAGGTGTATCTCTAACCTCGAGGGAATTGATATCCCGCCTGAGATTCAAACGCACATCACCTAGTGCTACAGTAAGAGACGTTGCCACTGAGCTATTCAGGTCACGATTGGCCCCAACTGTATGAAACAAATAACCACCATAATTTTTATTCCTGTTAATAAATGCATAAACAAATAACATGCTGGCCACTGAACCCGAAGGTCCTGGGTCCGATCCCTGGTGGGGTCATAGGTGCGCACTGCAAAGAAGTCCCATACTAGGACGAAACAGATGTCCAGTGCTCCTCCCAGGTTTCCAATATTCCTCCAACTGATCCCAGTCTACCATGAATACCACTTTGAAAAACCATTAAATCTCCACAGACCTCTAAATTCAATGAACAAATAAGGCAAAAACAAGCATAATCAGTTTTAATGTAACTAATTAAAATGAAAGATGGATGGAAAAGAGATTCTCTCACTCAGTTCCAATTGAATTGATCAATGTAGTGTCGTTTCACCTTCTTCTTCGTATATGTTTCGGTTATTTTCCAACTAACTAACTAACTAACTAATAGAATCTTCAACCGATAACACACATAAGATGAAATTGCAAAGTGTAACAAAGACGAAGGATAAAATAGATATGGGGTGTAATGATAAAATGTTGGATACGTTTATGGGCAGACAGGTGTACGTGTGATTGACATATTTAAATCATTAAACACCATATAAGTACCAATGTTAACTGCGATTCCGTTTTATAGGCAGCAATTAAGAGACATATTTACTTTTGAAAAATAGGTTTCTCTACTGCTTACTTGCCTTTATGATCATTATTTTCTGTTCAGAATATTATTCTGTTGGATTTTCATCAGTATGCTGTTGTTATTCCTGTCATCATCATCAAACTGTTGATTGATTAGTGAACAGGTAAAGTTGGATAGGGAAATAAGAATAGATTCTTCAGTATTATAAGGAGGGAAAAATGGAGTGAATCACGTGCATATATATATATATATATATATATATATATATATATATATATATATATATAAAGCAAACGATATGGAATCCAACATTGAAATAAGTCACGAACAGATATGAAACACATTTTTAAGAATTATCTTATCTGTGTATGCATATTTAAGTAAATTGAATAAAGACTATTTAACTGTTCGATGAGTTCGTGGTGGATCTCTTCTAAAGATTTGCTTTAGTCAATCTATACACTTCAATCATTTACTAGACAGATTCTTATCCTCCAGCAGACTACCAAACTTGTCAAGGGAACCATAACTATATCTTACAACCCTCATCATACTTTGGCCAGTAACTGCATTCACTCCCCTGTTACATCCCGCGGATAAGAGTATTATAATTGAAACTGTTTAGATAACTACATCAGGCATTCGAGTGGAACCCATATGGGAAACTAAGAGTTGGGGGTTCGAAGGTGACATGGAGGACATCATATGAGGAAGAAATGAGAGCTTCTGGGCAGTCGTGGAGCCAGGTTCAAAAGACTCCAGAGAAAAGAGTGTAATGCAGACGTGCTACTGAAGCCCTATGTTCCACTAAGAGCCCAACGGACAAATAATAATAATAATAATAATAATAATAATAATAATAATAGATAACTATATAGTAGAGTCATACTTTCCAATTATTACTATGACTGATAGCGCCATCCTCACATATATCCTTTATAAACGTATTGAAAAAATGGGATGAACACCGCATGTTTACTAAGATTAGGCACAAGAAACCTGAGGCTGTACATATAATAGTACGCATGACACATTCGAAGTATATGCAGTGATTGGTCACTGAAGGGTAATCAACTTCATACTGTTTAGTCACATGTGCTAATTGGACTCCCTCAACCATTTTTTTAGCGTACTCAGCTGGTTAGGAGAATGAGCATGGCTACGCACTGAGAGGGATGCTAGTTGGTTGGAGATTGTCTATAGGAATCCTCGTTCCACCTAGTTTTCGTGTTTATTGGCACTCGTCAGCAAGGGGTACCGCAATCTCTACGGAACTGATGTCCCGCCTGAGACAGCAGCTCTGTGTGAGGCTGATTTAAATTTCAGGCAAGACATCACTCCTCTCGAGGTTGCAAACATATCTTGCTGACGAGTGCCAAGATGCACGAAACCCAGGTCCACAGCTTGCTGCTGATTGCCTTTAGTCCATATAAATATGCACATATATATGATTCACGCCAATCCGCAGGGTTATCAATTTTTAAATAAGTAACAAACTGCACTGTCCACGTAGACATTTCTCATACTACACACTATTAGAAGTTGTTTATTTATGAACTGATCGTTAGAACACTCTATTGGTCAAGGACTTGTTGAATAAACTTATGAGCCCAACGGGATTTGAAGCATCAGAGGTGGAACCAATCTATTAGGCATTGTGTTCGAAAAACACAACCTTATTTCAAGCCTACTCTGTTAATGAGCACGTTTTGCTACTGGATACCTCCAACTTCTGGTGAAATGAGAGAGCTTACACAGCTGTGTATTACTCCAGCTACCGCTTACAGGGCTATTCACAGAATATGTATATCTATGCATAATTTTCCTCAAACCGATCATTTCCGACTGTCTAATCCAGCAGTTTCCCCAAAAGTATAATACAATGAGCATCCTCATGCTCATCTAGGTATCATCTCTATTCCGAGGAGAAATATTACCTTAGTATTCTAACCCGACTTCAACCAATGCACTTCCACCAGCAGATTACCATCCGTCAAATCCCCACGCAAATACTTCTTATATCTACGAGTGGTTTGAGATACTTATCGATACACTATGGGCGAATCCAGGATAGTGAACCAAAGAAGTCCTAATATTTACATAATTCCCCACTACATGATCGGGTCTAGCACTAGTTATATGCCTACTAACGACTGATTGTCTCTCACCGTCCACTTTGTGTTTTCTGTGAAGTTATGAAGTCACCGACGTAGCATCAACTCCTACACTTGGTTCCTACCTAAATGAGGTTTGCGACAACTTAGAAAGTGGCAGTTTCCCCTCGAAGCCTACAACTTCCACCGCAGTCCGTCCCCGAAATGACAAAAGATAATTAACAAAACGACAGCTATTCAACAATGTTTCTTTATTGTTATTCTGCTTATATAATTTTTTTGATAAAAAAGGCAATTCATAAAACGTCAGGAGTTTTGTGTATAATAATAATAATAATAATAATAATAGGATGAAATACTGTCAATAGTAACAGTATCAGAAGTGGTCGATACAGTAACACAAGCCATCGTACTAATAGAGCAATGGTGTTATCGCAATGATTGCCAAGTTACGTGTTGACTCGACGATCCATCCTCTTCTGTGTGTACATGTAATATAGATTCATTTCCCCATGTAAAACAAAAACAGTCATCCATGATGAGAATTCCCTCGATCAAAATAGTTATAAATAGAGAACAGGAATAATGAGATAAGTAAGCCCTGATTAAAGAGTTTTGTGTATGTGTGTATATATATGTGTATTTGTTCGTATATTTTTTCTTTGTGTTCCATGAAATGAATACAGCAAACAAACAAAAAAGATTAAGACAAAATAAAACAACCAAATTAAAATAAAATTTCCCAAAAGTTTCAACAACAAAAAAATAGGTATTGTATTCATAAACCACAGAGTAAGAGAACCACCTGAGACAATTAAACAGTCAATGAATGCAAATGATTAAATGAGTGAGCAAGCAATTGAATGATCCTTTATGAGTAAAGGCAGTCAGTGATACCACTGACTCAAATGATGTGCAGCATTGTGTTTTTTTTTCTTTGTATGTGTTTTTCATGTGTAAACGTGAATGAAACTGTTTGTATATTCAAAACTTTTACTACATTTCAAACGACTGGAAAAATGAATAAACGAATAGATGACTGACCCCTGATTGAAATTTCTTTCTTCTAAGACAAATTAGTGTCCATATCAGCGAATTACCCTATCATCATGATTAATACTTTTTTTATTGTTGATGTAGCGGATGTTGAATAGCCTCATTGCATTGTTCACTTTGTCAAAAGAAAGTATAGAACAGTACTGTACATAGTAAAAACAAAATAGACGAGTCAAAAATGTAAATGATGGTTGTAGAAGCAGTTGCAGTTGGACGACATATTCATATATTAATGGTTATAAATTGAAATAATAAAGGCTTTTCATTCAGAAATATACATTACAGTGTAAATGTAAAGAATATTATCATCAGTATGCACACTTCCAATCATTCTTCTGTATGAAATATAAGAAAGCATAACTTAAACTATCCTGAGATGATCGATTTATCGATTGGATACATTTAAACTGGGAAAATAATAATCACTAGAAATGATATATGAATTAATCAGTTGTAGACTAACTAACATTTAACACTACTATTTATTTACTTACTGATGCTAAAAACAAGTCTAACACCGCTTTGGTTAACATCAACTACTATAACTAATGTTACTTGCAAGTAGTAGGGTCACTGAGAACTTTATTTATTAGAAAATAATAAATTAAAATGTAGAGGACTAAGAAAGCGCAAGGAGAAAATTTCATGAAATCCTGTACAACCTGAAGAGGATATTAATAGTAATAGTGGCAGTATTAGTATAACTGTTCTCAAAAAATCCACCCAACTCCTAGTGTGATGATCATTCATTCTTACAACATACCTAAATATTATTGCTCATTACTAGTAAGTAATATGTAAAATAGAATGTAGAAAATTTCTAATTCTCACTGTTTCATTACCATTAAAAATTAGCTTGTTTTAATATGGAAAGGTTCAAGGATCAATGTATCATTCTTCTTTGTGTTTAAATGCATTATTTAATCCAGCAGATTGAAAATAATGTGTATCAATATAGCAGCAATAAGCATATTAAGATGGAGAGAAGAGTTTGTACGAATGTGAATAAATATTAAGATGATAATATTAAATATTAAATTAGCCAAAAAATGCATCATTTTCACGTTTCACTTTTGTTTAAATAAGAGAGGACATAAAAACACCTGAGTTATTCAGTGAAGATATGCTCAAAGAAGAAATTGTATATATATGTGTCAGTGTGTGTCTTTTTGTAAATAGGGAGATACACACAAGTTAAGCTGGCTTAAAACATTGAATGTATTTGCTGTGTTGTTAAGCCAACACAGACATTCCGGTTTAATAATGAATAAGCTTGACTTATCTAGAGAATCCAAATCGGCTAAGGTGGATGAGTAAACTTGAGGTGTTGTACTTAACAGTTCTTGCAGTGAATTCATTCTGAGTGATGTAGAAGTGGCGGTTGACAAAGACGATGTCTGTGGCATTGATAACGATGATGATGATGATCCTACCGGTCTTATTGATGAGTAAGGATTATCTTTCAGCGATGAAGAGGAAATGTTATGCATAACAGTGTTGCTATTAATCGTAACATATGAGTCATGATTGTTTGAATTATTTGTAAAATCAATATCAGATCTAGCATTGTATGACGTAGAAGTATGAGCATCATTTTCCGAATTTACTATATGACATGAATCATCAAATTCGTCGATTTTCATATGTTGACTATTACTATCCATCATGTGACTTTTATTCATATTAAAACATTCCAAATCATATGATGAAGTGGATTGTAGTTGACGATTTAACTCATTATCATAATCACCATTAATGTGTTGTTCTTCACTGGATTGAAATGTACCGGGTAGAAATGTGGTAATGTCAATTGAATTCATCATTGCATCAAAGCTTGAATCGAAGTTATCATCAGCAGTTATCGGGAATTCGGTGTCAGATATGATATCCACATCAGTAGTGATACCAGTTGTGTGGTTCGATGTTGACGATGAGATTAAGCTTTCATTTACAGATTTCATCACGTCAACAGTCAACGGTGGAAGTCTGTTTGTGTTAAATGTAGATGACAAGAGATGATCATCGTCAGTCGTGGATGTTGCCACCGTCGTCATTATGCTTGTTGTCCTAGATGGGGATGATGACGATGAGGAGGACGGTGACAAGGATGACGCGGCTATCGATTCACTAGACGTTAAGTTAGGTGACCAATCAGGCATAACAGAAGACGCCTCCATACACTCATCAATGCTAATTATGTTTGTCATTGTATCCAGCTGTTGTGAACTGAAATGTGTCATCTTCTCCTCATCAGCTAATTGTTCTTCATCAATACACATGTCTAACTCATTCTGTGCATCGAAATGATAAACATTCAGGCAAGATGATTGTCTTCTTTGAAAATTAGAACTGGAGACCACCTCAATCTGTTGCATTGGAAGGAACACATCAGCTGACATTGGTGATACAACCGAGTTCGGCGATGAATTACAACTGTAAGATGAAGAGGACAACATTTCTGAAGTGACTACTGGACTGTACAGAACTGGATCTCTGCATGACGAATGCTGCTGTTGATGATGAATGACATTCATCACTTTCAATGGTTGTAAAACTTGTACTGACTTCGAGACAGCCGGTATGATCCTATTCCCGTTGGCGATATAAATTCGTCTTCTTGTTGTTGCTGATGCTGTTGGATGTAGTGAGTTACCTTGAAAAGATGAACGTCCAATATCACCATTTGTTTGAATGATGGCTGTACCAGGTGGTAATGTGAACATTAAACCTTCTGTAGGACCTCGTCCATCATGATCTAATTGTATGTAGACCGGTGTCAAAATATCTGTAGTTAGCATTTCACCATCTTGTAGCAGAATGGTCTCATTAATTTCCTCTTTTTGATGTTGATGTTGTTGTTGTGACTGGTTAATTTGATCGTTAGACATTTGTGAAATGATCACATTATCAGGATGTGACTTGAATTGAAAACCACCAATCTGTGCACTAAGACAACCACCCACACTGGACATATTGGTACCATTGTTTGCTGACAGAAATCGTTGACGGGTGGGCTGATTACCCACAGGTGGTAATTGTTGTGATTGTGGTCTGATGGGGATAAAATGAATTTTCCTTCGAATAGGCGACGTTTTACTCTGCTTGCTTACATTCATTGAAGATGAAGATGCTGATGAACAAGACTTGGCAGGTGAGATTAATTCACCTACTGCTGGTGAAGATGCTGATGACGAAGAAGAGCTATTTATCCCAGAAGCATAAGCTGAGTCACATATTCCATTGGGAAATTGGTCATTTAACACAGTCGCATGATGAGACAGTGTTAACAGAGGTGGAAGGACTGATGACAGACTATGCGGACTTGGCCTGAATGAAGATGTATTGTTATTACTGATCGTGGCACCACTGACACTGCTTACAGTATTCACGCTTAGTGGTTTAGGCTCCAACTTAGCATAAATTGTGTTACAGGCTTGCTTCGGTGGGCTTGTAACAAAACTATTGACTAAATCTACTCCACCTGTTCGTTGGCTAGTGTTCACATCCATTACACCACTGGCTTGCCTTCTCACCACAGAATTAATCGTTTGTATGCCAGATGAGGAACAATAACGATTCACCGATGGAAGTTTATTACTCATAGGACCAGAATATACGCTGTAATCTGCGTTAGACTTGATCAAACTGGTTGAGATTAATTTAGCTGTCGGCATTTGGTCGTCGCGAACACTCACTGACATTGTTGACTGTGCACCGCTGGGTGTACTGTTACCATTGTTATTATTGATGTGGTGATGAGTATTTGTGCGAGTGTGATCTGATGTGTTGGCAGCTATAGTCGATGTGATTTGACGCTTCTTTGGTTGATATTTGTAATTAGGAAATTCAATTTGATGAATTTTCACTAGTCTATTGGCTTCATCATCGTACTGGTTACGACAACTCCTGGGCACTGTACGCCATAAATCTCCCAATTGTTGGCTGATTACAGAATTCGATGCATCACTGAATACACGTAACACATTACGGCGAATATGTTGCGCGAATAGCTGCGAGAAGAAGGAATAAAAATAAGCATGAATAGTTTATTTTTAAAATAAAAAACTCTATTTCATTGTATTGTAGACTGACTAACAGGGGGGATCGAGGATGCCCAGTTCTTCATGCTTTGGACTCAATACACCTGAGTTCCTACTGAGACTAGAGGTTAACAATCACCTCTTCAGTGTTTCCTTAATTGTTGAGATGCGACAGCCACTTCAGGATTCAACGAATGAGTCAGTCAACAGAAATCATACAGAAGATGCACTCACCAACCACGTCCACATTCTTGTGTGAGAGCTAAGGATTCGTCCTAACTGACTACCTAAACTTCGGCAGGTGGAGCGGAGTTGGAACCCACAGTTCACCTGATAAAAGTCGACTGCCTAAACCAACAAGCCAAAACCATAGTCAGTATTACTATGGAAAGCAGTAATATTGGTCAGTGGACTAATTCGTCACGCTTCATATCAGTATACCAAGACATTTCAAGCTGTGATAATGAGTAACAAACGCTGAACGGGAGATGATCATCGGAAACCAAATTCCTGATAGATAATGCTGTCATGTTCGAAAGAATAGGGTCAATGAATATAACGAAATACGACTCTTGGACTTCATTGTTAACCACAACTCATTAACATGATGACGGATTTTAAAAAAATTACATGGAAAATCATGCCATTATTACTTAACAACTGCCAAATCCTCAGTGGTTTTCACCGATTCTTCCACTGATGTTAGTCAGTATAGGTAAATAAGTTAATACCAATTGATTGCTTAGGTTTTATAGAACACATCACCGATAAATGATTCGAAGCTGAACTAAGCTAGTGAGTGGCAGAGAAGACACACCATACGTGAAACATTTCAGTGCGTGGTGATCATAATGAAAACTAGAATCTAACCACAGCTGTAGCAATGCAGAAACCTGCAGAGGAATATGTCACTTCTATTTGCCAAAGTGCATAACAGTGCACAAGAGAGGAAAACATTAGACACGCCAGGTTGTTGAAGTAGACAAAAGTGCATGAGCGAAGAGAAAATGAAAAGAAAGCGAGTTAACGGAAATGTTGAAGATTTTCAAATAAACAAAAACAGAACTGTTGTTTCCTCCGATTATGGGACTCCTTGGCAGTGGACACCCATGACCCTGTCATGGATCCCACTGAGAACCTTAAGGTTTCATATCAAGCACTGAATGGAACCCACTGATCCACATTTTCCTACCACTGCAGTGGGCAATATAGCATCACACTCATCCAATCCCATCAGTGATTACCTGTACTCACGTCGAACTTGGTTTTGCTCTACAGGTGACGGCTACTAAAGAGTCTTATGCTAGGACGAAACACCTATCCAGTGCTCCGAAATCTCTAGTGGTTCCCTAGTTGATGTTAATCTATGATAGATGTCCACTTGAGATCAAGAAACCCTTATAAACCTCCAATTTGAGAAGCTCAATGGATCTACTGCACCTGCAGTCTTCAATCACTGATCCCAGAATTCACAAGCATCACAGCCAGGTAACCTATATGGATGGAACTAACAGTTGATGACTGTATGAATTGGCTCCATTTCTTGATTTCATCATCCTAGACTAATCCAGTTTGAGCCAGTATCACATGCACGAATTTTTTTTAAAGTTAGCATTAGTAACAACACATATAGCAGGCATACAAAAATGAGGGAATTCACCAACTTACAAACCCATGTACATTGGTATTCGAGAGCTGTGCACAAAAGAAAGAACCACTTGTCTTTCATAAGCTGTAAATTGCATAAAAACTATACTCTGATTCAACTGTACATTAGATTTAAACAACCAACAAATGATTACTACTATGATTGATTGAAACCATCGACAGAAAAGTATTTTTTCATCTCTACGCTTTTTATGAATTTTTGTTACAAAAAGCATGGAAATTTCAAGGGGCCTCTCTGTAAGATAACATTTTGTCCCCTTGACTTGTATGTGGCTGATCTCAAGCATACACATCTGAATTTGGCCATCGAGTGAACAACATATGCTGACTTGTGACAATATGAATCAAGTGTCATCAGTGTGCCAACATTGGATGCTCATTGAATTATTCCAGATCATATGAATACACTGATCAAGTCACCTCCAATTGTATTCACCAGTTCATATGTACTTTTGGAGGTAAATATATAAGAAGGAAACTCTGAATTTATGAGCCTGTCCCAAGAAATCTGTTTAAATTAGAGTGCTTATAAGTGATGGAAACTGGAAATCAAGTAGACACCTCTAAAGTCTTCAAGATAATGAATAGACGAAAACTGCAAAGTTTACCATACCTTGTTGAAACTGTGGAAACCAGACATTTCAATCCTGACTTCTGTATAGAAAAGGCTGTGGTTAACCTTTCTTTACCCTAGTAATTCTTTTCTATGTCGGGTTACATCATGATGTCTTCTTTCCGATCTAACGAGTTTTGACCACATTTGTTTATTCTGATTAATTGTTTGCCTACACGATTCCTCGTTCGTTTAGACTGTCAATTATCTTGACCAAACTATGCATTTCTCTAGGTTGCATGCAGCTGATGAGTATTTGTGAAATAGAATGACATAGTTTTATCTAACTAATCTGTTCGCTGTTGCCTTGTCAAAAGAAGCCACTCGAAAATGATGATATCAGTCAGTCAGTCACGATATTTAAACACTGGAACATCCTGGCTCTATCAACACCAGTCGTGATCTGCAACTTTGTGCTGTAAGCTGACGTGAAAGATGACACCAGACGTTGAAACACTTCAAACAACACGTCGAGAATGATGCCTGAACGTGCACAGAACTGTAATGCGCTGATCCAGATAACCGACAGTAAACTGTAATACTGAAGGGTGTTAGAAATGCTTCTCGTATTGTTAGTCCATGAGTCACGTGATATTATTTGTCAAAATACAAGGATATTTCAGCACTTAACTGAGCAAGTAAGTTTCATTCATCCATCTACTTTCCGTCATTATTCTGGGATAATTCATTGTCCCAGTTCCTAGATGGTGTTAAGTTACTGTCAGCAGAATACAGAATGTGACGATCCTCATGATTCTCTTCGAAAATACAATCCTTAAAGAGCACAAATACTTGCTCCATTGGAAATCAAGGAAAGTAGTAGCTTGTACAAGTAATTCGTCTGTTCAGTCATAATATTTAGTTAATGACCGTACACTCACCATGAGTTTATACCATCCAAATTAAAGAGAGAAAGAGAAAAACTTATTTAGTTGTCACGAGAAAGTAGGCTGAAACAAAACAAGTACACAAAATATGCAGTTATGCTTGACAATTTATACTTGTAATTTAGTGTTGCTATAAAGGGTTGAATTGCTCGACCTCTATTGGCAGATGGACTTCTATTCGGATACCTCGATGCTGACTAAATGCTCGTGGTGTTGTAGTCTAATTGGTGGCTAGCAGTGGAATCCCGAGCGCCCCTCTCTTCCTGTTTTGGACTCGTCAGCTGGATGCACCTCCACTTCAGAAGCAGAGTAATCCGACTCATTATAGAAACTAGAAATTACAAGTGCCACTAAATGACAACTGATAACAGGTGCACAAGAGGTGGCTGTTATACCACATCAGACTAATGGATAACGTTTTGTTGCTTAAAACGATTGGCGCTGGGTTCGAGTCCCTACGGGGACAATATAACTCATTGTGGTCCAGGTACATGGGGCTGACGAATCCCAAACAGGACGAAATATCCATGCTGGATTCCACTGCTAGCCACGAAGTAGGATACAAATATAGTCATTCTGTTAGTAATGATGGATTGGCTAGTCTTTCAACACATCCTCGTTTAGTCTTTCATGAAATGGACATCCAGGTTCACCTCATAGTCAAGTACACAAAGCTGTATGTGATTACTGAATAACACATAGCGAAAAGAAAATGCTATGCACTTTCTAAACAGTTATCTAGGGGTAATCAAATCATCATTATCACTTCATCTCCTTTACCTACTAATTTATGATGTGGTTTTTGCGGTTCTACCTCACATTTGCTTCGTTTATCTTATCTCCGAAAGTGCAATAGATCACACAGAGTCCATCGTGCATTTACAAAAGGTATGACTATCCTAGATCGATTCACCTGAGCATGAATATGTTTACAATTGTGTATGTGTGTGCATCTGCGCATGTTTGTAGGAAAATAGGTCAAGCATAAATTGGTCTATACTATCTCTTATGATAAATAGTAGTATATACATGTTCCATTTCGCTGGATTAGTTCAAATGTCACTTTTTTCAGAATTTCAGTTAACGATAATAATAATAATCATAGACATAATCGGGATGGGGGGTGTGGCTGGTGAAGAAACTAGGAGGCCAGCATCACATCTACCTGTTACTTATCAAAGCAGACAACTAGTTAATCCACTTACTTTTTTTAGACTTAAACTATTTTACAAGAGAATTAGCGCTGTTGTTTATCAGTTTGACATACGGAAAAAGAAGCTATTCATTATCTGACTAATTTTATCTGGTCCTGCGACTACTACTACCACCACCATCCTGGGCATCGCTACTTCTACCTTTGGTTCCTGTCCTATCCACAAATGACCTATTGACCTAGAATATTATACATTTATTAAGTAGGAAGGCTGTAGGGAAGAAATAGTTTATTTGAACGAGTCATCTGAATCATAGTCGATGCAGAAATGACAAGTTTGTTGTAGACAATGCAGTGCATTGTGCATTGCATGATTGAAGTTGAAATGAAAAGTTGGGTAACGAACGGAACGACTCGAACCAACGACTTCCGGATAACCAGTATGTCGCTTTGCTGCCTAAGACAAGATGCCTACATGCTAGCCAACTGTCAACGTTACTTAAACGGTTATCAGCACCGTGTAAGCAAGTTAGAGATTGCGAATTTAAATGCCACCGGAAATCAGGTTTTTCATCTCAAAGCTGATCATTATTTTAGGCTTGGTATTCATCATGGGCTGATATCAGTTGGAAAAACCTTGGAAACCTGA